GGCGTCGAGATAACGACGTCTCGCACTACACCCCAGTCGACGGCTCTCGAATCAACTCGTTCTTGCGCCACTAATTATACCCATTTGCTCATAATGAATATTAATGGCGTGCCGTCCCGCCTCTCACTACATATTTTGTTTATTATAAGTATTGACGCTACCAATTATTTTAAGTAAAGGCAATAACGTCTTCTCGTAACTACTTTCATAATTGGAATACCTTTTTTAATATTTAGTTGTAGCCGTTACGACAGAACAGAACCGTGTCCTATTTTACATGCGTCGACGTTCCACAAAAGGCGTGTATTTCTACCGCCACACGGAACACGGTGGTGCAGTAATTAGAAAGCTAACGAAGAGTGTCGACATTGTGCACACTACATTATCGATGGCCCAGCCACTAATGTTCCACGGCGAGCTATATTTAAACAATTACTACGCCGCGAATGCGATACGAATCGATGATAATGTTGGGTCTGTCTGCTGCAATAATAGCCCATTTATCGACTCGACTGCCATTTCGCCGGAGGAATTATTTATTGCCGCGCCGTAAGAGCGAAGTCGCTTTTAATACAATAGCGACCCTCTTTTGATCGTCGACTGTTTTGTTTAATAAAGTGGAAACTTCATAAGAGTGCTGCGGTTAAGATAAAGCAAAACAGGAGGGTATAAATAATTCATGAATCGGAGATCATGATCATGAATGCTTTTGATATCTAACACGATGTCGGCATGTAAAAATTTTGGTTCAAAAGAGTTTGTTTATCTAAATTTCCAATAGAGAAACGATAGCTTAATATCACAATGTTGAGCCGCTTTTGTCTAAAATTTGTACACGCCGTAGCGCCTGCGGGGCGACTGTTAGTTTGGCAATTTGTACCCACTTAAGTTAACTACTCTTAAGCCGCTTTTCTTGTTGAGCATTTGATAGTTTCCGAGTAAATTCCGTGAATTTGTGTAATTAATCGAAGTACTTCACTTCGGATTAATACGTAGGCAGGCATTGGGATGTGGTGTGTAGTTGATGGAGTGAGTTGAAAAGTGATTTATGTTCGGAGTGCCGTGTTAGTGTAATGCGTTTGCAGTGTCTCGCGGCGCCCCGGTGAAACCTCACCCGGCTCAGCCTCATGTATATAGGTCAGGCCACATGTTCGCATCGCGGCATATCTTCCTAGCTTGAAACTGCCACTACCTCTTTTCCAGATGTGCATATCATCCTTATTACGTAGCAGTTTGTTTTACATCGACTATGAGGTGTATATTTATTTTTATTTCGTCGGCTTAGTATATATATATCGGTTGGTCGTATATTTATATTTAAAATCAACCGAGTTGACGTGTTCAAAGTTATCACTTATCATAATTAATAAAGCCTTAGACACCAGTAATAAAAAGAACGAATTCATAATTATTAAAAAGTTTCAGATAAAAATGTTAAATTACGCGGACAGTACTGTTTAATTACTCGAATGATATAATTTGTTAATTCCTGCCAACGATTAGATATCTGTTTAATTCAATATACATAATTCATGCATTATTAAATTGCAAATCGTTCACCTGCTACTCATTTATTTTCCGTTTTAGGAACAGTTTACAGATTTATTTGCAAACAAATAAATATTTTTACGATAAGGAAATAACATTTTATAAAACTTTACTCATTCTAACTTATTTTATTTTTTAGTAAACACTGCATTAAGATGATAATTGTGTGTTTAGTGTGATCCATTTTGACATGAAAAATTAAATCTTGCCTTCTCGAGTAACTGCAGAGATAGTAGAGCAAATGGAGTGTCACCGGCAAGTAGAGATGCAGCTTCAGATTAAAAGCTCCAGCGACTCAACCACGTGAAAATCGCGCAAAAAGAGGAGTCAGCCGCGGCATTAGCGGATGAGTGTCGGAGCCATTAGTGCGCCCGCCACCCCCCTAGCTCACCCCGAAACCCAAAGTTCCTCTTTTATTTCTCGCGCGGGGATGAACTCCTTAATGACAAACCGTACTATATCTTTTGTGGAGAACTCGCATAAGTACGTATTTTGCGGTCCTTTTGTACGCCCGGCGCTTTTTATTTCGCCGTGTCGGTGTAGCCCGCAGCGCTGGGTGTACGAGATGCAGATGCGACTGTTCGACTCGTAATGTCAATAGGAACCGTTTCAATTCGAAACCCTTTGTCGACGTTTCGACGGAGCGAAGTTCTCTAATTAAATTTCGTAATAGTCAAGCAAGATGGATTCTTTTTGCCGAAAAAGGCTGCGCGAACGGGAGAACTTCTATATTTGCGATGACCTTTATGTAATACGTGCATTTTGTCCATTACATACAATAAAAACTACGAACAGTTGAGTTTGAATGAAGGCTTGAATTAATTGTACGGTCGTAATGTTCGTGTGAGAGCAACATGCATAAACATTGCAGAAAGTGTGCAAATTTACGAATAATTAAATCTGACCCACGCGCGTTTTCGTACAAATACGATCGTTACTTTTGCTGGCAAATTTCATCACGTGTCCTAACTTACAATACACATTTAACTGTCCATACTTTACGTAACTTCGATTTCACTTTATGTTATTTGAATTGTATCTTAATTATCGGCACCGATTCTTAAAGGCATTTTAGAATATTTGTTTCTTAGGTTTTCACGCACATCACTCATTAAATAAAACTAGTTTTAATGGGTTATTGCATGAACTTTATTTATTTATTGACGTTTCGCAGCCCTTTCAGGTCTCATCGTCAGGCAATTCAATTGTTAATTGAAGTATTTCTTATTACATGTATGGTATAAAGCTTTTTCTACTGGCTCTTTTATAATATAAATAGTTCACTATAAACTGTCGTCCGTCAGTGCAAACTTGTCTAATAAAACAGTGCTTTCTATTAAAGGAATCGTTTCGTCTATCGAAAAACAAAAGGTTACAAACGTGGTCGTAAAAAAAACAACAAGTTAGCTGTCAGGGAGGCGATTTTGTAGAGACCGTTTGTGAGGATATTTCGTTCGTTTAACTAGTGAATTTCCACAATAACGGTTGGGCGGGCGAGGGTAGCGTGGCAGCGGGCGCGGCGCGGCGGCGAATGAAAATGTAATTTGCGGTAATTCGACGCGCCGGGCTGTGGCCGAGGCCTGTCCGCCTCGCTACCCCGGACCGACCAACAAATACATTTATGTACATTTCATCGGGATATTCTGCTTTTTATCACAACCATTTGCCGTATTATTTTTCTACGACGCTCAAAGTAGATACCCTGAAAATATATAAGTATTCAGTTAACTCTTTCTTTCGTATTTTGCGCATTGATAAATCTGTACGTATATATGTTTAAATTATAACAACGTTACGCAGGCAGCATAAACGTCAACTTCAATGATATTGTACAAAGTAATTATTATGCAAACACACAAAACCTTGGAGCTATATTTTTTGCAGTTTATTATTAGATTCTCACTACATTCTCGTACAAAATAATAGCTTCTCTTTGATGTTCAAAGCTTAAAAAGTTTACGACGCTATAGAGCCCTCGCCGACGATAAATATTGTTGTTGGAAATGCCAGTTTAATCTCTGCACATCGTTTCCCTATTTCATTGTTCGATAATTACGTTATACGCATATACGTAGTACGATTTTCAGCATAGTTTTAGTCATGAAGTGAAGAAAATGGTTAAAGATTGCTATACCTATTTAAGAGAAACATTTGTTGTAAAATGCTAGAAATTGCGTACACTCTTGTAATGTCTTAGTCATAAAATTTATTGTCATTTTCTCTCTATAATATTTACTGTTGTGTGTCTGCCGCGTGCACAACGAATTATTCGGTGACCTTTTATATCGGCTCTATTAGCATTTAGGAAATTCACAATTACGAACGTCTGTATACGGCATTGGTCACGAAGTTAGATGCCTATCGACGTTGAGGCGTAGACTATGTAAATACCAAGCAAATTGATTAATGTCTACTGCGGCTACAGTTTTAAAGTGTTATTGCGAGTCTGTAATAGTGTAAACAGAATCATTAACAAGGCGCTCTCCAATGTGCAAATATTTACACTGCTGAGAATACAAGGAAGCAAAGCTTGTGTCGAAAGTTGTGATTTTGATGCGAACACTATTTTAACGATGTTTTAGCATTTAAAACTTAATACTATTTTATGAAGTTTTAATTGAAATTTTGTAATGTTTAACCGGAGCATTATAATTGTACTTTAGTTCTTTGACTACACACTGAATTATCGATTTATTTTACCTATAAATTATTAGTTTGATATTAGTTATGTAGTTAAATACTTTTACCTCATTCACGTTTTTTATTGATCAAGTATAGAACAAATTAGTGATTTCCACAAGTATCAAGAGTTCAGCCTACTCCTACGCAACAATCCGTCACTGGAAAACAATTAAGCTGTGAATAATGTTTACCTTTTTCGTTTATATTTTATTTTTAATTCTACTGACTCAATTATGTTAATTCGTCCACAATTCACTCCGAATCTGTGAATAAAATTAATGTGCATTTAAATGGAAAATACGAACAAAGCCAATAAACGCGAGCGGGGCTCCGTAACACACCGATTTATCATTTCATTTGACCGCGCGCATTATTGTTTATTGTGTTAATTTTATTTGTAGCCCTCTGAGCAGCTTATCGACTAATTACACACGTTATTATTGAATCGAAAACATTGTTGGAATGTGGATACGTTTTGAGAACATTTTGTTGTGAAACAGAGTAATTTAGTTCGAAAGGCCGATTATCTCACCGATTGGCGCGTCTATATCGAACTATTAATGTTGATTTTATTCAAAGGAGATCGGTGAATGTAAACGACTCGATAAACTGTGTCATGGTTTGTTAGCGGTATCACGCAGAGTACCCACCTATCGATGTTCGTTCGTGTTGAAACAGCATTGCCGATGCCGTCTCGTATTGTTAAGCGATTGACGAGATAATTGTTGGAGGAACATTTATGGTGGACTAATGTAATGTTAATATTTCAGACGGAGATAGCAAAAAGGTTAAACGCGATTATCGCGCAGATTCTGCCGTTCCTGTCCCAGGAGCACCAGCAGCAGGTGGCGTCCGCGGTGGAGCGTGCGAAACAGGTTACTATGACGGAACTCAACGCAATTATAGGGGTGAGTTCCCTCTTTTAATAATCATAACTCCGCAACACTAAAAACTAACGGCCTTATTAAATCGTGGACTAAAGTTAGTCTAGGTTTAAACCTAACGTTTCTTTAGCAAATAAAAGTGACAGAATCAGTTTTAGTGCAGGTTTAACTTTAGTCTACGTTTTGTTATAAGGTTGTAGAATATCTCATTAATACAAACAACATATTTCTTTGAAAAACCATTCAAGAAATCAAAACGATTACCTACAACGTTATGAATGCCTTAGCTCCTTTAAATCGTTTGAATAGTATGAAATGAGATATTTCAATTTCCAAGAAAATTTATTAGTTGGGCGTAACATTTCACGCGAAACCGATTAAAACAACACGTGTGCTGTTTGTACGAGTGCGAGTCGCTAATGTGGGGCAGCCGACGGCCAACGTAACATCTGTCCAAACATCGGCCGGAGTTGGCGTGTCACCGCTTGATTAGTCACCGAGTGCAATATTAGTTTCTACTACACAAAAGAAAGTTACAACTCAGTAACGAATATGTATTATTCTTTCCTTGATCAGGAAGTGTTATTACTTCTACTGTTTTTTTTGTCTTTCATTATTTATAATACGTGAAGGAATAATTTTCGCACACTGACGGAGAAGGGTATTTTTTTGCATAATTTAATTAAAGTTTATGGAGGAGAGCTGCAGATAAAAAATTCACACACAAAACGAATATTATTACATATAAAAAGCACGACTGCCCTAAAAGTCATTTTGCTGTTGCGAGAACTCTTAAATCGAATCACTGAAATGACTTGTTATTCACTTTTTAGCTGGTTTTTTGGCAGGTCAGTCGTTTTAAAAAAATATCAAACGCTAGTAAATCAAACTATTCATTAAATAAACGAAAATCTGTATTAAACAAATTAGTATGTGTAAAACAACTAAATGCTCTAAAAGCAATGCTTTCAACAGGTCGAAAGTTCGACGGTCGTTAATTAAATGATCTAAGCTCCGCACAAGACGGGGTTGGCTGCGATCCAACGACTAGCTACGAGGAATTTATAAAATTGTTACAAACCAGAGCAGTTTAATACTGAGTATAAAGAGTTCTATCAACAATAGGTGGGCAGCCCACAAATTAGCATGTTTATGGAGGTGGTCGCCAAGCAAGTAACTATTTATTTATCTAGCCGCGTGGGTGAGCGGGTAGACAACATAATGTATGTCCGCGTCGACTATTTACGCTAAGCGCAAACTCACGTGCCACTATCTGTCCTCAAATTGGTCTCCTAATTGATTTCGCAATCCACTAATTGTATTTTTTCGCTGAGGGGAGTCGTGAGGACTTCATTGCCGTCTATTATAAATTTCAATAGGCACATTCGCGGAACGGTGCCAAGTAGTTAGTGCGACCCATTCTCGCGGTATATTAACGCTCGGCATTCGAAAATTGTGAATACGTCTACCGTGCCTGAAATAAATCACTTAAAAGATAATGAGGGCAAAAATAAAGTGCTGGAACACACTCATCGCTCGTCAGTCGGTGGCTGATGGACTCTTGTGGAGCGAGAATTTTGGCTCAACGCCAGTTCGATAACACTCCACACGTCACCTGCAACGTGTTCCCACCTCCGTCTGACATTCAACATCTTCGCCACTCAAGATGCGTAGTTAACATCTCGCAACGATATTTTTGTCAACATTATCTATCAGTGTACAATACCAACTTGGCAAAAGATATTGCCTTCGAAAATTATCAAAGTTAACACCTGAAATGTGGGTCGTAATTTTTGGCGGCGAGTCAACAATCTCATGAATTATTTAGGCACGTTCAAGCCGCCACCATTTATTAGCGGTCCTAATTACTTAATGTCTCATACGCGGGTTTCAAACATTGTCAGGGACAAAATTATGTATGGTAATATATTTAAAATTATACGGCATAGCGAAAGTCATTTAGAGTCTTCAAAATACCTTTTATTCACGCTCAGAGGATAAAAGAAAATGCTTTAAGATCCCTAAAGTATTCGGTGAAAGTTCGTCGCACCCGGCAGGCAGTGTGGATTTACCTACGTTTATAGATTACCGAACAGCCTTCGGGACACCGGCAAAACGCAATATCGCTCTCCCCCTATAAAACACTCTAATTTAAATAAAAAAGCGGCGCCACCTTCCGTATGTCGGTCCTTTTTTATTACGAACCTTTTTTATTTTCGGGTCAGCTAGGGATCAAAGGGGCTCTCCCCTGAGAGCCCGCCCGCCGCTCCCAACTCCGTCTGATTTGCGACGATTCCACCGCGCGCTGATTTGTGAATAGGGAATAGTCCTCAAAATGGGGACTGTTTGCTCGCCTATTAAAATCACTTAATGTCGCCAACACTTATAAATTAATCTTGAGGCCTTTTGTTTCTATCAGTTATTGTTTTCCACTTCTTGAGCGTTTACGAAATTGTTGTAATTAAGAATCCCTTTTCATTTTGACAATAGACAAACAATTGGTGTGTTCCCTCGAGTGACGATCAAACCCCGCGTGAATAGAATTTAGGGGTTGCAGATAAATACGATAGAACTGTTCGCCATTGTGTACGAGCAATGTGCGTGAACTCGTCATCAATAAAGCGAGGAGCCTTCGCTCCGTTATCGGCGGGTAAATCATTTCTTTCTGATTTTATTTCGCCGCCCTCTGGGGGCGTCTCCTCCAGGTAATACCTTCTAGATACGTCTCCCCTTTCATGCTCATCTATACATTACACAAATGTTCACATCGAAACAATATTCACGTCACCCTACTGAATCGATAAACCGCCTTGCGCCTTTGTGTCAGTGATCCAGGTCTCAATAATCCAATAGTTAATCTCATTCCGCAACAGTCGTAATTGAAAACAGCTATCCATGTTACGATGTAAACATGTCTAATTATGTACATCTTTTATGCAACAATATCTCGAGAGAGATAGGTGTGCAAACGAGAGCGCTATGTGAATGGAGCATATCTGTTTTTCCGTTCGATGGCTTTATAAACAAGCGAGCCGTGAAAACATTTCTATATAGTTTACGCAAAGTCTCACACCCTCTGATAAAAATTACGACGAGAATAAATCAGGGTGAAGGCGGCCGAGCGGGAGGGGGAAACATGAATTTGTCATTTTTTCCCAGGCACGTTCGCGGGCGGGTGATAAATATTGCATTGCAGGCCCTTGGCGTTTCTTGCGCATCGTCGCCGGCGTGGCTTTTCCCTTGTCGCTTACGCGAGAACCTTGTTTTTCAGAGAGCGGAAGTGAGTTAGGGGCCATTCTGTCGTCGCTCCCAATGAAATTATGTAATCAGTTTTACGACTCATCCGCCCCGCGTGTTTTTCGTATGCTTTTTTTCGTTGTTTGATGTTATTTCTATGGGGTTAGCTTTGTATATTTTTTCGTTATTGATAGATGTGTAAACATTTGTCAGGAGCGATGTTTTAAAAACGTGTATCGAACACGTTGTGTATTTACAAGTATGCAGGATTTTAAAATCTTAATTGAAGTATTGCGAATACACATACGGCCGCGCCCAAAGACGTCAAAGACTTTTAAAATTTCTTGATAACATTAAAACAAGACAGCATGTCACTTCATGCAGCATTTAATGTAATTAAAATCTTTGAATGAAATTGATAGGTAATATAATGAAACAGCCTCTGACTGAGTAAGTAAATAAGTATCGTATTTGATACTTATTTGAATTAGTCATAGGCATTTCATTTCCATTAGCAACTACAATTATCCTGATTATTTGCCTTTGTAATTTAGCATGTGTGGAGATAATGTGCGATTAGAAGCAATTATGTCGAATGTAGCGCACGTGGCCGCTCGCGGCGCGTAATGGCGCGTGACTCCCCACGCACCCTTGGTCCCAAACTACCCTCTTGTTTCTCCCAACGTTTTATGGCTTCATCTATTTCACAAGAGATTTTTCCTGATCTCTGTGTAATTTATCGATGTTATGTGACAACACGCTTTACGAGCAGACAGATTCAACGGTTTTAAAATATTTAGACGGAGTATCTTAATTCACATTAGCCCTTAACACATACCGAATGATCAATGCTTCTAATGGATTGAAAGATAGTGGTATCCATTAATCAATCTACTCTCATCTGAATCGCTTAAAAAATCTATTACTTCCATATCATAACACGGATGTAATTTAGAAATCAATCTAAATCGTGTTATTGAATGAGCTTCTGTTTAATTCTCCAAGCGCCGAAAAGTCAGTGCTCCCATACCGGTTCTTGTACGAACGGAGACATTAGCTTTAGAGCGCTTCGATGAGCACCTTATAATAAATCAATTACGGTCATCATAATATACACATTATGCAACAACTTAATCCCCGAGAGGTGCGCTCTGAAGCTATCGTTGTAATAATGCCGCTCCGACCGATAACTAACTGCTCTTAATTATTTAAGTGTTTGAGTGGAAACTTTCCTCATCTCTATAGCTCCTATTAAAACGCAAGTAATTGTACACTAATTGTATTGATTACACGGCCACTTATATCTTGTAATAGCTGAGGCAATTTATTTTTAAAAACCATACTGATACTTTATTATTGTATGATTGTAATGGTATAATAATCGTTCTGTTCGTTAAGGCACCATTTGCGCTTATCCGACCTCGTTTCACCGAGTTTAAAAACTGTCGTGACATTATGTGTTTTACTAGGTCATTTCGTAGTCAGGAAATTGTACCCCAATATTTTTTACGCCCGGGCACGGGAGAAAATGTACGCAGTAAAAATATTCGCACCGGAGCAGCGTATGGAAATAAATATTGTATGCATAAAAATGTGTGCACTCGGCGTACGCTATCCATTTATAAATGGTGAATAATCCCGGGTATAGACAGTGGTAAATGTGGCGTGAAAACCCGAACGCGGCGGAGCATTTTTCTCGTAACAAAGGCTTTGTGGGCGCCCTCCGCTGCTGCTCAGATTCCTTGCCGGCACATGATGCGCTCCTTGCGTAATACCTTTTCATTTCC